GGAAGCGGATGGGCGGGCGGGATGGGACGGCTGCAGGAATGGGCCCCCGCGCGGCGTCACGGACACGGCCCCTGTCAGCCAGAGCCGTCAGCCCTTATCGAGGGTGACAGGGTTGTGGGGAAACAAGTCAGCACTTCCAAACAGATTCTCTTGGCTGCTCTTTTCCTTTCTGAAGCTGGCCCGGCCGTGGCAGGGGTTGCTCAGGAAAACCAGCAAGTTAATGTATTCGTGTCATCCTGCATTTGGTGCCAGGACATGAAGTAAACACTGTCAGGGACCTAGCGCAGGTTCAAAGACAAATCCTGCTTCTTATTCCGCTCACATTATCCATGCTCCCCATACAGAATCATTGATTCATATCTTAAAAAGCAAAGCCTTCAAAACCCATTAAGTCTGTCTTGCCATCCCAGCCCTGCTCTCAAGGGCTAGGGCAAGAAGCATTAACTAATCTGCTCACATTACCTTGCCTCTGAACCGAGTATCTCTCCGTGCCAATCAAGTGTGTTGGGAACTGATACGCTCCAGCACAGGGCAAGCTTCATCCAGCAACTTGACCGAATGCCAAATAGCAGAGGACCTTCGAGACTGGTCCAAGGTGGGCGAACTCGTTTCACTGGGCCCCTGCTGGCACCTGGAGAGGTGCCTGGATCCCAGAGAGGGTCCCGGATCATTTTTGTGGGACAAGCACATCCTAAATGTGGACAGCTGAGGACCGTGCACGTTATGACTCCCCCATGGGCTGCTTGTTCCTGGGGACTCGGATGCGAGAGGGGACCGTCCTGGTGCCGGCCCCAGCTGGGCGGGAGCGAGCGCAGAGGGGCTCTCCGGCAGCAGTGTCCTTGGGGAGTTACAGCGGTCACGCTGCCTTCTGCCAGGGAGGAGAAGGTCCCTTCGGCCTCCAGCTCTGGTGGCAGTCGCTGGGTTGTGGCTCCAGCAGCTCCACAGACTCCAGGTCGCTCCGGGCGCCTGCCGAGGCCGGCACGGCCGGTGTTCCCTGGACACGTTGCGCAAGGCACCCTCTGCACCCTCCGGCCCTTTGTCCTACTTGGGAATAAATTATTCACCCTTGTTCCTGACTGGAAGAGATGTTGGAGATGTTTCCTCCACGGCGCTTCCAAAGGCTCCAGCTTCCCACCCTGCCGGTGCCGGGACCAAGGCTGCTCCAACAGCCCCATCTGACTTCCCGGTTCAGGGAACGGGGCTGTTTGCTGGATGGGCTAAGAAGGGTTTTGCTTTGCCGACCTTTCAGGGGCTGCTGGCAGCTGTTACTCTGCAGACTCAGAGCACTCGGAGACGCTGTTGCCACCGCGTGGGGATTAGTCACCGAGTTGGGCTTGGGGGCGTCTCCAGGCTGGGCTGGACACGCATCCGAAGCCAGGTCCTTCTGACGGGATCAGTTGTTGAACCTGGGCTGACCTAGGAGGCTTGGATTTGGTCCCGGTTTGAAGGGTGGGTTTGTGGGTTTTTCCTCTTACCAAGGTGACTTTCCTGGTTGCTCTTTTTTAACCTAAAGCCCCAAAGCCGCTGGACTCCAGCAGATGTTTTTGGCATTGGAAGGGGCTGAACAGCCTCCCTGCCCTTGGCCAGAAGCAGCACAGGGGAAGATGAGGTTTTTTTGGATGAGACTTGGAAAACCAGCTCCGGGGTGTGGGAAGGGGATGTGGGGCCAGAGAGCAGAGCTGTCTGTGCTGCCCTGGGGCTGGACCAGGGAGGAGGAGGAGGCTGCAGCGAGGGGAGGATGCAGACAAGGTCTCGGGATCAGCTGGCTGAGACACATCCATGGGGAATTACACGCAGGCCTGAGCCTGTCAGATTAGCAGAGATGGGAAAGGGGGGAGCGGGCTGAGCGGGAGGAGGGAAAGCGGGAGAAAGGGAATGCAGAGGCGTGGGGAGAAGGAGCTGGGATGACAGGGCAGGGAGGCACTGGGAGCCAAGGGTAGAGCCCAGTGCTGGAAGCCAGAGGGAGGGCAGGAAGATGGGAGCCTGGGTTGTGCAGGATAGGGGTGGGCTCAGTTTGCTAGGAATCACCCTGGGGCCATCCCAGCTGTGGCCAGCGGGTCCGTGGGCAAGCGGGAAGGGCACCCAGGAAGCCAAAACCACTTAAGCGCTCAGGGCTTCCCGGGCCAGCGCTCTGCTCCCTCCCACCTGAAGGTCGGAGAGAAGCGCCCTCATTTGCTGCCCGTTAATTACATCTGATCCTGCTCTAATTCCCCCTAAACCCGGCCCGGAGAGCGTGCGGGCGGCTGCTGGCGAGAGCGGGGGCCCCGCGAGGGCCGCTTCTTCAACAAAGTCGAGCCGTACGTGCTGCCCCTGC